TAAGCTAATCGTTATACGGTTTCATTAAGATAATGAAACTGAGAGTATCCCTCTACTTATTTTCAATTAAAACAATACATAATTAAACTTTTGTTTCGTTTGAAAATTATTGACAAATGATGAGAATGTCATAAATTATTTCTCTCAATCACCCTCAGTGATGAAAATCCTTAGTTATTCCGTTTGCACGTGGTTCAAGCAAATTCACGAAACGCAAAGCAATGTTATTTTTGACTGCGGTGCCTGAATATTACATGGCGAGTTCCACAGCATTTCTTCCTCGTCTATCTTCTCTCTCGACCTTATTTTGTCAGATAAAATTCCATGGAGGCTTCCAGCTTGTCGTCGTTTGCTTAGCCTAGACGTCATCGGTGCGTCTCGTTTTCTTTCGTTCTTCACGTCCACCTTCTTTTTGTCTTTCCGTCGCCATTTTCGCGGTCCGAAAGCACCGCGTTCGTTATAAATGCTCGCAATATATGTGACAAGCCAACTTTCGAAAGTAATAGATGCATAAATAATGACGTAGTACCGGAAACTAATGTCGTAATATTCCATGACATGACCGATGTCCATAATACCATAATATCTCGCTTTTTCAAACAAAAGTAATTGATAAAGAAATATGTGTGACGCGTTAAAAATAAGCCAACAGATCTTTAGAATATTTAAAATGCGCCAAGTCGAATTCATTCGTGTAAAAACTGTCCATAGATGACTGCATGAACTGTTACTGGGGCTAAGAAATATAAAGCCTCGTATAAAGCTTATATTTTCTCAGCACTTCTTTTCGCGCACTTGTTGAGGCAAGTTATTTGCTCACGCTCTGTCACTCGGTTGAATTTGTTTTCAGTGTGTGTAATTAAATTTGCTAATTAAAATATGACAAATAAAAAAAATATTTTGTCTAAATTTTGTAACAAAATTATTAATAGCAAATATATAATCTTTCTGAGATTTCCAAAAGACCAATTAGAGGATAACGTTTATTCATTCGTGTTTGTTCGTACTCTCTCTCTCTAGATCTGTTTACATTTCTCTTTATACATTAATTAATAACTTTACTAATTAAAACAAGATAAATTAAAATGAACCTCTCGTCTAAGTCTTTTCGAAAAAAAAAAGAAACAAATTATCGATCGCAAACGTGCAGTCTTTGAAAAGTGTCAAGAGAGCCAATTAGGAGATAACGTTTCTCTCAATGTTTATTTCCCGTGGAAGAAATTTCGCGAGAGCCGGGGCGCAGCATGACGTAATAAATCGCAGTATACACAGCGCAAAAAGGAAACTTCAACTTCAATCTATGCTATCCCACCGTATACATGTATACCGCTGACGATATACCGAATTCTTTCGCGCAGTCAATATTGATCAATGCAGCTCGTAGCGCTCACTTACGATGAAGCGAAGAAAAATGCCGGAAATTCGTATACGCCCTTCGCCATGTTGGTCGCATGGTTAACATGGCCAGAAAGGAAGGCAAGGACGAAGGATCGTGGCGCGGTGGGCTCTATAGAGACGAAGAGCGCGTGCACGGTCGGCATATATCGGAAATCGATGCGTACGCTCGCCTGTTGCCACATTGCATACGCATTTGTCCGATTTCATGAATGTATGCATTGCACGTCGCTTCTTTCTGTCGAGCGTGACCTATACGGCTTCACGCATGACAACACGCGCGACGCGATTTATCGCCGATGTCCGCTGCGAAGACGTTTAATTAATCATCATACAACGTCTCGGCTGATATCCGTTTCTTCAATTACAAAGTTTCTTTCTTTCTTTTTTTTTTTTTTAATAAAAAGTTCGGGTCACGACTACGCGAATTAAGAAACTCGCATTGAGTGTCGATCCTTTAAATCCCGCGTTTTCTTTGCAACAGCAAAGTCTCGTAAAGCAGAACTTAAGAAAGTGACAAGAATTAGAAAGAGGGAAGAACATTTGTCAATGTCAACTAAATGTATTTTTGATAAAAATTAATATGCATGTTATTTTAAAACGTTTGATCGAGATTGTAACAGCTCGCTGTAACTGATATTTCTTTATCTCTAGCTGGACAATGTAGAATTGTCTCACTTATTAACTGGGTTACGTTTAATTACCAGATGTATTTGTGACGCACTCCCAAGTATAATGACCCAGTTTAGAAGCCGTTCAAAGAGCGACCGTCCTTTCTTAATTAACGTTATTAAGACACGTATTTTTTTAATCCTGAAATATCGCGTCTTATCGCGAAGAAACGCCGGCAAACGCAGCTAGGTAACGGCAAAAGTGTGCATTGCCATGCAGAAGAAAACACGCGCAATCCCCAGGATTCTCTATTTCATTATCATTTTTGAAAAATCATGTTTGTAAATTTGAGAATTAAAGGTAAAAATGTAACAAAATAATAAGAGGAGTAAAATACTGAAACACTCATTGTCCTTTTATTTTGCCGCGCTAATACTATTTCAACAATGCAAAAAATTAAAAGTTGCAAACGTAGGGCAAATAAACAGAATATTACCTCCGCAAAAATACGCTCTTGTTCGAATTGAATAACCAATGGCGTTTGTATTGCGCTAGAAAACGAAAGAAATTTTATATATTCTGCAGGTAACCATGTTCGATACGTTCATATTTCGACAATAAAGCAGAGAACAGGAGAAGCCGCAGATAATACGATAAGTTTTCTAACAAGTTTTGTAAGGAAAGGGGTGGAAATATCGGCTCTTCCAATTCCATTGTGTTACGGGTGTATCTTTTAAACGATGATTAAATCTACTGCAGAGATGATGGGGAGAAACGGAAGTAATTGCATTTTTCCTCGTGCAAACTCTTCTTAGATTATTCTGATAGGCTTACCAGCGTTTTTATCATCGTGGACACAACGTTAAAAAAATAGTGCTAGAAATATACGCGAGTGTTCTATTATATATAATAATGGGGTATAGACAGAATTTTCAGGTTGCTTGCAATTTCGAAGTTCGAAAATTAAATTTAAACTCCTGTGAAGTTCATCGTTTTGAAAGTCTTGACGAAAATGATAGAATTCCAACTTGTTTGATAAATTTCTCAAGATATGTTTGAGAAAACATTTTGATAATTATTTGTACAAGATAGAGAGTAACAATTTTTTACTATATTTTAATAAATAACTGTTATAATTGAGTTCGATTTGATTTAGAAAATTTTAAGGAATTGTCCCACACCCTTTTAAAAAACGGGATTTCTAAAAAAAATTTAATCGACGGGAGGAGACTTAGAAAATGTCCCTCTTCTGATTACAATTAATACTACTTTAAATACATACGTACGGCTGAAAGATTTTCTAAGTTCTCTTTTATGAAAGTCCAATTTATCTGTCATTTATATAACACGAAATCTAGAGACGTAGTAAAGGCATTTAATGGACAAACATTTAATAGTTGAACTACACATAAATTATAAAATTAAAGGAAAAAAGATTTATTTCGACGCAGCGATTGTTAATAGCAGGTCCATCTAGTGACAATGCGACAATGGTTTTTAAATTACATATCGAAGAGTAGAGTGTCGCATTTTAAACGGATCTGGTGCTTCTGCGTGCACAAAACGTGGACATTGAACATTGTTCTCATGTCCACAAACATTAAAATATTCCCAATAATCTTAATACAATATTTTAATTCTTATAATAAAAGTTCACGTGACTTTTAAAATTGAAATAGTAAAATTGGCCCATAATATACAAATCTTATAACTTATAACCTGTAGTTTCGTGAACATGCGCATGTTTCATAAAAATATCAATTTTTATTATGCAAATTATTAATTTTTATTATTACTATCCGAGTTTGATTATCCATCGAGACTTTCGTCCGATCGACAGAGACGCCAAGTCGATATAATACCGACAGCTCTCGTTCACCATCCGATTTTATCGACAGAATTGTTTACATTTAGTCTGGACTCGAACCAAAAAGTAAAATTTGTCAATAAAATCGGATATATTTAGTCCAGACTCGCATAGGGGCAAAGTGTGATGGTCTCGATTGCGATCAGCAGTCCATTTTATGTGCCGATGGTTCTCTCCCCGACTCTTCGCCGCGCGCCCCCTCTCGGGAGTCTCCGCGCCGCGTTGTCGGAAGGTCGTCGCGCGCGTCGTGGCAATTGTTGACAGCCACCGCGGGGTAAGCGTTGGCACACAGCTGTGCGCTCAGGCACAGCTGCATATAATCAAGTTATCCTCGTTGTCAGCGGCGCTGGATCCTCGTCCGCCGTTCGCGTCCCGGCGCAGCCACGTCCAGGCTGCGTGTCCCGGCCACCGTCATCCGTCGCGTCGACAGATCGAGCCGCATCGTCGCCGAGAGACTGGGAGGGACACGGAGCTGGGAAAAATGAGGTATCCACGGCGTCCACCTCTCGCTTCTACGCGCGGCCGCGGCCGCGGCCGCCGCGTTCTTGCGTCCGTCGCTCGCGCGACGATTCGGGGCAACACCGGGAGCCGAGGGCGATCGCGGGCGACGGCGTTCGCGGGCGGGACCGAGGAAAGTGCATCCGCGTTTATCGGCCGCCATCTTTCCCGCGCTGACGCTTCTGCTCACCCCCCGAACGCTGTGCCTCGCGCGTCTCTCGGGCATTTAACTCGCGGACTCGGAGAATCGGAGCCGTCGCGGGGGGCGTCCTCGTTGAAAAGCCACTCGTCTCTTAGCGTCTCGGTCGAATGTATAATTTTCTCTTTATCACCGTCGCACGTTCTGCGTATGAATAGATGCGTTACACACGTGTGTGTGTGCCTGTGCACGCCATATTATGTGCCGTCCAAATAGCGCGCATGGCTTTTGCATACACGCGCACACGTGCGCATATATAGACGACTGTCGCGCGTGAGAATTCGTGTCGGGCTTAATTGCCGATGGGTTTACGTGTGTGCGCTGTCGTGACTGTCGCGTACTACACTTGGAAAATGGTAGAATCCGCGGAGGCGCGGACACGTCGCACGTGCCGCCTGCGTGCGCGTGGATTCCTGATACGCGTGCCGCCGCGCGGCCACCGGCGGCGGGCAGCAGTCACGAAGGAGCCTGCATTGTCGTCGCGTGATCCTCACGTCGGCGGTCCGGCGACGTTATCTCGAGCTATCGTGTCACGCGTACGACAATCGCGAGCGTCGCAGCCTCGATCGCCGTCGTGATCCTCGTCGCGCGTGGGCCGCGGCTCGTTCTAAAATGCCACGGTAAAATATCGGGTCTCCGCTCGCGATTCCACGTCGTGCGATCACGCTAGTTAATCACGGGTGTCGCAGCTTTGATACGTTCCTTTTTACTCCGGAGCGGGGGGATTTTCAGCCCGAGCCACGCGATTACTATTTTTCCCACTGGATTTCTTGCGACAGTCAGGATTCAGCCTTGGATTTACCTGATCTACAACTTTGCATCCCCGGTTTCACCGACGTTGTTTAACTTTAAACTCAGCCCACTTCGTTCCTTGCCTCTGTCCGACTGTTATTTTAGAAAGAGACACATGGAATTACATACTAAGATTACAGTCAAGCGACGTTTGTTGAAACGGGCCTTACTGGCTCTCGCAGGAAATCCAGTAGGAAAAATAGTATCGTGCGCCGTTGACTTTAAAGTGATAGGCTGATAGCAGAGAACGCAGACGCTTAAGACTGCCTTGCAATTAGTTGTAGACGTAAGGGCAAGGCGGAGAAAAACTTTGTGAAAGTCTATTGTACGCGACTTAAGTTTCTCTCTGCTTGCCTCGCGTCTACAACTAAGACAGGCCCAGTTTTACCAGTTTGCTTAACTTGAAGCTTAGTTCAATTCGTCCTTTGTCTCCTCCCAAGTGTTACTTTAGAAGGAGACAAACATGAATTGAACTAAGATTAAAGCGACGTTCGGTGATACCGGGGCTTATTGGCTCTTGTAAGAAATCCAGTAGGAAGATAGTGTGCCGTTAACTTTAAAGAGTCATGTGACACATGTACTGCTAGAGTTTTCACTTGAGTGCATAAAGGGGACGTTTTAATACATTTGAAATTGGGTTAGGCTAGATTGTATTAGAATAAATTTTTCGTTGTTGAGTCTCCCAGATAAGAAAACTGAATCGTACATTTAGAACGATTGCTTATCTTAATTGTGTTGTTTGCAGCAGCAGATCACAGATGACTACAATGAATGGGAAGAGGCCCTCCTCATTACCCTCCAGACATCAGCCAGAGACACTGGCGCAACACTTTGACCTGATCAAATATATCTATGATTGTAAGTATAGCAAGTGCGCAGCTGGATATTCAAGTAATTAAGTTCGTTATTTGTGCGTTTTTGGACGATGGTCTTGATTCTCTTATTAATCACTTAAAAAATTAGTTGTACAGGATACCCATTCACATTTGCTTTGTTAATTTATTCATTGCTCGTAAATACATTGGCCTTAATTTTCCTTTACTCTTTTTATTGAAAAAAGACGAGCTCGTACTTTATTCTTAAATAAAATATATTTCTCCAAGGTATTCGTTTTCATGTTCGTTCTCCATTTGCTTTTGCAGCGTGGAATTCTGTATCTAGAGAACTAGATATGTGTCACAATCAAGCACACAGTAACTCCTCCAATTATAGAAGTGGAGCGTCAGTTACATATTACCAAGAACGCGAGCCGAACCCGCAGTTGAAAGGTAAACATTCGCTTTTGTACCGGTATTTTATCCATATTGTACAATAGAAGAGATTATACTCTATGTTTCAGAGATATTCAATTATCTTGTGTAACGCGACGTTTCGTTTCTTTTATAACTTTTTTCTATTTTATCCTCTGATGTATAGAATGTGGAAGGATTTATTGCATTTCATATATCTTTTTTTTTACAGATTTCGAGCCGTTTAATTTGGAGGCATGGTGGGGACAGCGTGTTGTGCAAAGTATTACTAGGAATAATTCCTAGTGCCAGGCCCAACATGTCGACTATAATCGGACATTTTCAAACAGACATAAGAAACAAAAAAGATAAATTGCGAGTTAAATTCAATTTTTGTTTCTTTCTGAGATTTTTTTGTACATTTTTAATTGACAATGACATTTTAGAGTTGGGATTCAAGGTGCGAAAGCACATAGAAAGGCATAAACAGTAAGATTGAAACATTGGGTCGCTCGAACAATCAAAGCAGAAAGTTCAAAATTCACATCGACACTCACATCGCATAGTTTGATCTTACTGCTGTGACGTATTTGAGTAATTTGAGTAATAGAAAGAAAATGGTGGGTCAACGCAAAATTTAAATCCCAATTCTGTTTTAGATATGTGACGTACGTATTTATTTGAATGACGTTATTTAAATTTTTCAATAAAAGTGCGGTAAGAAGGAATGCAAATTGTAATGAGATAAATATGAAAAAAATGCACCAAACATTTAATACGAACGCTAAAAATACGACAACAGAGAGACATAGGCATTACTATACGAAAACATTCCTTTTATGACAATTGTGTTTGAATGAGCTATATTCAACTTCTTTTACTTTTTTAATTTAAAAGTATACATTAAACGGAAATAGAAGAAACTTGTTATATTATTGTCTTTGTAAAACTGGAAGGAGGCGTTTTATAATTAAGGAAATTACGTGAAATTATTTATTTTAGTCATAAAATAATACGACACATAGATACCTTGTATAACACTCTTTACATATATACAATTATACATAATGTAATTTATATGAATTGTATAAATTTTATATGTACAATTATATATAAAATTTATATATAATATAAATTTGTAAGGCAATGATACTGTATTTCCACGTGATTTAAAGAGAAGCCGAAGATAATTATATGTTTTTTTTATCTCCGTGCAATGTTGGGCGAAGTAAGTTTGTTGCTCAACAGCTGCACAAAGCATTTAAAGAGTGCTCAAGCTTGTTTGATAAAACTTTCATAGGCGAATTTTAGGAATTGTACCTTAGGATATACACGTAAAAAAAACATACTTTTTCACACGTTGTATTTCACATTTCCAAGAAGATTTTTCACTTTCACGTCCATAAACTGACTGCGCACTTTAATACGTAAATTATAAATAAAAGCGTTTTTCACCCGTCGAAGATTTTATTAATAACGATACGAAGTAGACGCTGCACTTGAAATTTATCGCAATGTGAAATAGCATAATGGTTGTTGCGATTTTAAATATAGGTACAACACATATACTCTCATCATTGTATACATATGTATGTACATCTATGCGTGTAAGTTACTGTGTAAGTTTAATCAGATAATGTTTCTAATGACAAAACAATAATGAGCAATGTCTTTCTACGCATGTCGACATTTTCTCTTTGCGCTCCCGCTCATCCCCGTCCTATTTTATATCAAATCCCTGTCGTAAGAAGAATAACTCGTCCTATAACATTTTGCAAAATGTAGGTATATGTTAAAACATAAATTGCAACTTTGCGCTCAAGTTTTAACGTGTTAATGTAATTTTTATGTCTTGGATGTAATGCAGAACGAAAGAAATTTGTGGCCGATTGATATCCAGTGCACTAGGTCAAGCTTGTACGACGGGACATACGGAAATTCCTGAGAAACGATGAATTCTTCGAGTGCATTAGGCTACTGATGCGGTAGCTATTTGCGTGACATTTCACGAATGGAATGTGAGGTAGCTATTCTTAACAATTACCATATTTTTTTTACACGTAGTCGTACAAATATCTGTCTCCGATCCTCGATTACTTCAGTTTCGTTAAATGCTTATAAAAAAAGTGAAATAGAGATTAATTCTTGAAATTTTCCAAATTGTAATATTTTAATATCTGAAAAACATTTTCCTTTTACAAGTTTATATATAACACTATACTTATCGGTATGTGCAATGTTCCATTTTTTATAAAGTATGTAGTAAACAATACCTCCCATATTTCTTTTAACTCGCATTTATCAAAAATACATTATCCATCAAACGTGTTATATATGTGTAACGACAATTGAAAACATATTTCTTTTAACTCGCATTTATCAAAAATACATTATCTATCATACGTTTGCTAACATTATAAATATAAGTTTTCATAGAGAAATTCATAACGTGTTATATATGTGTAACGACAATTGAAAACATAGCTGAAAGAGTAGTCAAAATATTCTATCGCATTTGCTTTGTTTTCATATGTTCAATTGCGTTAATCATTCGGTACCGAGTATAGGAACGTGTAGTTTTTCTGGATCGAAAGGTATATTCATTTTATTACCAGGCAGTATCATAGGCACGACTTTAACGCGAAACTCGTATGGCATAAAGTCCTGACAGAAATGATGAAAATCACTACGAGTAGTAATAATATTCAAGCGACTCATTTCTTTCAACAGAGCCTCCAATTCGACCTCATAATTTTCATATTTCTTACGGCGCTCAATAACAGAGACTATCTCTGCTAATTGTTGTACGAATTTCTCGGACTTGACCCTCGTCGCCAATTTGTACTTCGGCTCCATACGCCGCCACAGGAATCTATAAAGACGATCTGTGGCCCAATACTTCGGACGAGGAAGCTTCGGTACTTTATACGGCTTGCCATTTACTAGGAATGCCTTGTGCACTGCTTTCGTAGGTTTCGCGGGCGGCTTCTTCACAGCTTGTCTGAGCGCAACAGATTTCGCATGCTGCGCCTTTAACGCTGACTCTTTGGCGATTTTCATTGCAGCCATCTCGCGATTCTTTATTATTTCCAACTTCGCCTTGACCTTCTCCATCTTCTCATTAAAGATTTGCGACTGCAACGTGCATTCATTTGATTTATTCATCCTTGTCGAAGCTCGCTTTACTTTGAAAAAATCATCGATCTTTCTTATCGATGTTTCTCGTGTCTTGGGTGAATTTAGCTTACTTTTATGTTTCGAAGACACATGAAATCTCTTAGATACATGTTCGTCGTCGCTTGATGTTATCGCGAGAACTTTATCGTTGGAACTTGTTGAACTTGTAATTATTCTTGATTTTGGCTTTAAAAATACAGACTTCTTCCTGCGGAATTCATCATTATCTGACATCAACGTACTGCTTGATGTTGCTTCAGTTATATCTTTGGCTTGGGATGGTACGTTTAATGATTGCTTCTTAGTCGTACTTTGAGACACTCTTGGACTTTTACGAATCGGTGAATTTTCGTGCGCTGCGTCGATCTTAGTCTTAGATCTGCTGACAGCTCTTCTTGACAAGGGCGAAGCTTGTTGCATTAATGGAGACTTTTGCACATCGTTTTCCCTATTCGGATCAAAGGTAGATACATTTGCGTCAACTAAAGCATCTGCAAAGGCATTTCTTCCTATGCTCTTCCGCGCGCGCTGCATAAAACGGGATTTAAGTTTCTCATATTTTTCGCTTTCATCGCTGCTCTGATCAATCTCTTCAGCGTTACTTTCAAGCGCCGCGTTCTCGACGTTCGAAGTTAATAAATTCGAGGAATCACCCTTCTCTGGCGTTGCTTGAAGCGTTCTCACCAATTTACTTCGATCGTCAGTCAGATCTTTACTTGCATTAATATTTCGGTGTATCGAATGCCTCGACGATTCCTTCTCAAGCGCGACCGATTTCCTTGTGGCGCTGTGACTCAAAGCACTATCTTGAGACAGTACATCCTGAAAGGGATTCTGATCTTTTGTACTGTCACCTCTCCTCCTGCGAGAAATACTTGGCTTTGATTTTAAAACGTGCCCAGTCAAACTCAAATTATTGTCCTCTTCGTCCTCCTGCAATTTCTCCTGCAAGACTTCTCTGTTGCTGTGGGAGTCAGAATGGTTCGCTCGTTTCTTCCGTGAATTTGGAATTGTTACGTCGGTATCGTTCAAAGCTGTCGAAAAGGCATTGCCAGTACTCTTCCTACTATTCATTTTCAGTTGAACCTTACGCTTTTTTATGGAGACCTCTTTACTTCGATCGTCAGTCAGATCTTTACTTGCATTAATATTTTGGTGTATCGAATGCCTCGAGGATTCCTTCTCGAGCGCGACCGATTTCCTTGTGGCGCTGTGACTCAAAGCACTATCTTGAGTCAGTACATCCTGAAAGGGATTCTGATCTTTTGTACTGTCACCTCTCCTCCTGCGAGAAATACTTGGCTTTGATTTTAAAACGTGCCCAGTCAAACTCAAATTATTGTCCTCTTCGTCCTCCTGCAATTTCTCCTGTAAGACTTCTCTGTTGCTGTGGGAGTCAGAATGGTTCGCTCGTTTCTTCCGTGAATTTGGAATTGTTACGTCGGTATCGTTCAAAGCTGTCGAAAAGGCATTGCCAGTACTCTTCCTACTATTCATTTTCAGTTGAACCTTACGCTTTTTTATGGAGACCTCTTTTTCCGACTCGGACGTCGAAGTTTTGATTACACCTTTTTTAACTATCTCTAAAAACATAACACGTATTACGATACTTGTAAAGTACTATCGCCAAAAGATAACGTATTATGATATTTAGGGCCAATTTCACAAACGTCGGTTAACGGTTAGCCTAATATTACATTTGTTGTACGACAAATTTTTCAAGCGTGTCGACTGGCTGCAGAATAGAAAACTTCTGAAGACTCGACAACTTTTCTATTGCAACAAATGCAATACCGGCCTTAACCAGAGTTCAGTCGACTTCCTATCTTTTTCTATCTTGTTATCTAAGAAGAGGGAGACTCGATTAACCTTCGATTAGCAGTTACCCAACGTTTGTGAAACTGGCTCTCATAACGCAAAGTTAAATGTTCCGTCGACTTGTACCTGCACTGAGATTGCGTTTCAATCTCGGGTTGGGTGAAGCAGTTTGCTCGCTCTCAGGGGACAAGTTCTTCCACCATTCCCGCGAACTCGAATCAGAAAGTACCAGCCTCGAGCCGGTGCTCAGCTGCCTGTCCGTCTCGTTTACACCGAAAATCATGGAATGCCGTGGCGTGTCTTCCTGCAAGTCGTCCCACCAAAAGTTTCGTTCTGCAGAAACAAAGAATACAGTGAATTCTCATCGAGGTTTACTTCGCTCGTGACACTTATATCCGTATTCATAGTCGTTCCTCAATTCTCAAGGGTAGTTTGTCTTTGTCTCGCGTATGGTAAAACGTAGTAGCGAGACAAAGACAGACTAACCTTGAGAATTGAGGAACGACTATGAATACGGATATTAATATCACCGGGCGCAATGACGCAGGACGGATATTCCTACCTTCACCGACGATGTTTGTGTCAGGGTCGAGAAATCCGGAACCGGTGGAGCTTCTTCGGCTGGAGCCCCGCTTTCGAATCAAACTCTTTCTCTTGGCCATGTTTGTGGAGAAGCGTGTCTTAAACGAACCAAAAATTACTTGTCTTACTGTATCTGTAACTCAAAGCCACTCAAGAATGCTCGAGATTATATAGAGCCTCTCGCTCGCACCATTTCACATGGTGAAAAACCGCGCAAATTCAACCCACAACGACACGAGCGCGATTACGAATAACATGTGACGTGCATGTGACGTGATCGTGCTTGGGCATGAACGTAGGAAATACCCGTTACGGGTAACCCGTATTCCTACATCCATGGATTGGCGTAGAGACCCTCTAATCAGGGTCTGGACATGCGGTATCCAGCTTCTGATTGGTTCGCCATGTTGATGATTTTCCCACTGAAGTTTGAATTGACAATTTTAATCCAGTTTTATAGTTTGACAAACTACAGGTTATCGTAATTGATTTTAATTATTTCGATGCGTATCCCTTTCTCGAGGTGTTATTGCAAAGTGGGGCTGCACATCCACCCATTTTTGCAATAAACAACAAACTCACACTATTATCAAACTTCGTGCGATGTGCAGTTATATTTTATAAATTAAACGTATTCTGCATTAAAAAATTTATAAGGAGATACATATATACCAGTAATTATGATAGTAGAATTATCGTAGTAGAAAGAAAAAAAAATAAAAAGTTAAATTTATTGCTTATTTCGCATTGACTTAAGTTATAATAAAATGATTGAATTAAAAATATATTTTTCATATTTTTATTCATACATATGTATATGTAATAGTATACATATACATTTTTTTTTAAATATTACATAAACATATATTGTGCCAACATTTCTGTGGTTCTTACAGTGTATTCATAACATGTTCTGTATTCTTGTAAAGATTTATAGATAAAAATTATATATTGAAAATGATAAATAATATGACAAATGATAAGAAAGCGAAAATTACTTTATAATTATTCAAAGAGAAATACAGCGATTATGACGATGAAAAATAAAACACAAGATTTATAACACAATGCAACTCGATATTTTAAATCTCAAAGTTAAAGTGGCCGATTGATATCCAGTGCACTAGGTCAAGCTTGTACGACGGGACATACGGAAATTCCTGAGAAACGATGAATTCTTCGAGTGCATTAGGCTACTGACGCGGTAGCTATTCGCGTGACATTTCACGAATGGAATGTGAGGTATAACAGAACCGCCGATAGCTGTCATACCAAAGAGACACTAGCAAATTCCGGATTTTTCGCAAATAAATGTCCTCGATTTTGTCTATACATACATTTATATGTAATATAATTTTTATTAACTTCTTTCGACAGTTGTATTCGCGCGTCAATTAATAGGTAATCGATTTATATATTGCATACTAATTCCTTTTTAAATGAAACTTTAGAATGCTTGCTGTTT